GTGCAAAACCCCATGAGCCATGTTATAAGTTGATTATTTTCTTGATTTTAAGTGGTGCTTATGGATAGTGACTTATAAGTGATTGCAACGTGGCAACCACTTATAATTAACGAAGGCTTTGTGTAGTCGTGCCGCGTGATGTTCAATATAGACCGATAGAAATGCACATGCAGGGCTGTTGTGCTTTCAAATCAAATACTATTTCCAAATCCCAAATGTTACCCAATTATCCAATTTTGGGTTCCAATGCCTACTTAGTCGAGTTGAGCTAAGTCGATCTTGAATTCCAACCAGAAGAGCCGAGTCAAGCTCGGCAAGTAAAGCTCGTGGACTTTGCGAGCCCCTGAATTACGCTAAAGTTTCTTGATTTTTAGCCATTATTAGTTTTTTTCTATAATTTTTTTGAACTCTATTTAGTAAAAACGTAAAGTTCGTTAAATGACTCGACCAATTGCCGCCCCTAATTTAGAGTCAATAAAATTTCAAGTTTTTCTGCCTGAATTGTTGGGGGAAAATGTCAAATTATTAGTATCCTTCAAGTCATCTGAAATTTTGACTTGTCTGTTTGCAAAGGCAATCAAATCCAACAGAACATGATGGGTATGTTTTGTAAATAAATTTTTTCTACTGGAGGTCACAAAAGTTACAAGTTTATTTCGTCTTGGTTACTAAACTATAATTATTTCAATTTATGTTTTTATTAATATGGTTATTTCGTCTATAACTAATGTCAAATTAAGTGGCAAAATTTGCAATCTGGCTAACGGAATTCGTGACTCAACTTAAAAAATTTTCAACGCTATTTTGAAGTGCTAAAAGATACAGATCCCGTGTTTTGTTTTTTTTTTAAGAAAGTAAGTCTTCCGCGGTAACAATTGCATGTATATAAATATTTGTCTCATTGGGTTAACCGAGTTACCATTTTTGTTCGTCATTTCATGAATTATGATAGTCCATGTAGGGTTGGATTTTTTTTAGCTCAATTATCCATGAAAATTGGTCACGTCAGCTCGATTTATTAAAAAAAAAAATTGCAGTATTATAAGGTTCAACTTGTAAAGCATCTGTTTGTATTTCATGAACGATTTAATGAAGTAATTTACAAATATTGCGTCGAGAATATTTTAATTTTTTAAAAAAAATTATAAATTACAAAATCAAAGGTTGACCTAGGCTTGTCTAGCTAGCATGTAATATTGGCGGGTTTGCAAGTCGATCCAATTCAAGCAATTCAGGCAAGACTCGAATTGTAATTTTAGGTGAGCCGGTACAGGCCCACTACGAGCCTGAGCTGCATCGACAATCATGAGGTCAATCGAGTCAATTCACCCATTTCGATATCCTAAAATTAATATTATGTAAAAGGTCATGAAAATTTATTGAAAAATCAAGAAGCTGTGTGATCAAGAGTTATATGGGCTAAGGATGACCTACTCAGTTGCAGGATTGAACAGAAGCCCACAAGCAGGAATGTCACTGCTGGCCCAGATTCATGGGCCTAAACAATTGGGCTTATTTTGGGCCCAAATCTATATGTCTTTTCACATACATGGGCCTAAGCACTTTGATTCATGGGGTACTTACAAAAATACCATTAAATTTAGGAGTGACTCAAAAAGTGATACATAACTAAAAAAAGTAACAAATAGTTAAAAAAGTGACAAAATACCAATCAAAACCTATGTTTATTATTCAAAAAAGTGATATAAATTTTTAAAAAGTTTAGTGTCATTTTTTACAA